AGATCATGATTTGACCAAACTGTTCCATCACTACCAGCTTGTTTCTACTGACTTGTTCTGTCCTCTGTGTTAGACGGACTGTTCTGGGGCCCTCAGTTTGGTGTACTGTATTCTACTGTCTCTACTCACTGGCAGGTGTTGTTCGTGGCGTCCTCAGGACAGTGTCCAGAGCAGTAGCAGCTGAGGAAACGGGCGGCGTCCTCGGGAGCAATGGTCGAGTCCTCGTCAGGCCGCCGAGCCTCAGGTTTCACCCCCGTCCCCTGCAGGACGTGGTCCGGGTTCTGACCTGCAGCTGGACAGAGACACAAGAGTTAAATGAAGAAAGAGACACACTGTACATTTAGTCCAGGACTTTTGGAGAACGGACTTCAGGTCAGATCTATCCTGCCGGAGGTGAAACATTCCTTCTCTATCGGCAGGACAACGGTCAGAGAGGAAGAGAAGGACATGTGACAAAGCTCCATTCAAGGACCAATGGCTATTTATACTGACCAGGAATCACTGCACCAACAACTCAATCATAATCTTTACATTTCAAAAGGTAACCAGATCAGGAGTTAGAGGTGACAGCATGCAGGTAAAATCATTGTCTTTTTAAAGGTCGTTATTTTAATCGTGTGCTCATTTTAGTCACTGTTTTAAATGGGAATCAATTATCAAAGGAACTTATTTCAGACACTTTACTCATTTGACTGCAATTTCTCTCTTGTAGTCTCCCCTCAAATTCTTCTTTTCCTTTTTATACGCATATTAATTACAATTATTGCATCACTGATGATCTTGGTCCTACACAGAAGGAAAATAACAGACATTATAAATCACAAAAACTAATATCATTATCCCGAACAACAGTCTCTTCCATGTTGGACAACAACTCAGAATTATTTTCAATATTCATTAACAGATGTTTTCATTAACCCTCAATTTACCCTCAAAGTATTCCCCTGTGGCCTCCATGTCTTTGCGCCTTCATACACCTACTGACGCGAGTGATGTAGGACATCAAACGAGCAGAAGTAGCTTTCTGCTGTTAATGTCATTTTTCATCTCACTGATTTAAATCTTCACATATTTGTATTGCGATTTAACTGTCTTACAATATATCGTTACATTCCTAATCAACAGAGAAGATACTGAGTTGGTACCAGCAAATGCTACAAGTCAAGATATCCAATTAGTAGATTATTTTTCTATCAGTCGACTGATTACTTTAACTTTATCAGAGAGAGAGGATGTTTATGAAAAGAACTGACAGATGGAGGGGTTCTGCCTTTTCATGCAGCTCTGTTCATCCTTTTCTTGACAGCCTTTCACCTTTACTGCCTTCTTCTGTTTATCTCCATTCCTTCTCTAATCCCTCTCTCTTCTGTCGTCCCTCATGCAGGACTGGGTGATCTCTCTCCTCCCACACCCCCCTTCCTTTAAACACTTCTTTCCTTTTCTTCTCTTCAGCCCAGAGGAAAAACACTCTGAGGTGTGTAGACGTGCATGTTGTCATGTCTGGACACGAACTACCTGCACACCTACACTTTGAGCTGCCTGGTTGCCATGGTTACAGTCAGTCTGTCTCTATCTCTACTTCCACCTCGGAGTAAAACCCGGTCCTGTGGTTCAGAGACGGAGCTCAGTTAAATTCTGTCTAAGTGAGTCTAACCAGAGAACCTACGGTGACTCTGCAGATCGGAACGCAGACTCTGACTCATGTTTGACGGGCGAACGGAGGAAAAACAGAAGAAACGACATCTGCCTCACACTAAGCTGACTCGGCACAATAAACTGTAAAAAATAAAATAATCAAAATATTATGACAATAGCAATATGGCCACGTGCAATGTCCAAATCCCAGGAGGTGCAATTTTTTAAAGAAGGTAAAGGAAAACAGCATTATAATGAAGTACTGGCCTACAAATCTTGCTCTTCCTCTCTCTTGTTGAGCCGGGGAGGAGGGGCCAACTTTGAATTGTGTTTTCAAAAACAAAAACAGACAAATCCAACTTAGTCTGCCTTTAAAGCTGATTGGTCTTCAGCTCTTACTGACCTCCCTGAGTGGAGGCAGAGGAGGAAGCTTCACATGATTCTTTTTTTTTTTTTTTTACAGCTATAAACTGCTCAAATGAAAAACATGAAACTGAAAAATAAAAAAGACAAACTGAGCAATGATGTCATCACTGTCTAGACCTGAAAAACCTCACGTACGGTTTCTCCCTGTCCTCTCCCCACCTCCCTCTCAGGTCAGGACAGCTCTGATTGGCTGAAAAGTTATAACGACTGGAGCAAGGAGGAAGTAGAAGTAAAGGGATGGTGGGTGTGTTGAGGCTGGAAATGGCTGCTCTGTTTCTGAGTGTGTGTGTGTGTGTGTGTGTGTGTGTCACCATCCACATGTGTGCTTAATTGTGCCGGCAGTCAGAGTGGAGACTGAGGTCTGGCAGAGAGCACGCTGGGTAATCAGACTCCCTCCATGTGCTCTTAAAGTCACAGCGCTGCTTTTGACTGACTGTTTATTTACATGCAGCAGCAGCATCATCAAACACTCTGATGTGCAGCCGTCAGCTGCCGTCTTTTCTCATCTAAACATCTGATGAGCCGCAGGAACAGTGAACGTGAGGCTGGGTGCGAGGATGAAGCCTCCACTGTGGCAGACTAAAGTTAGCTGCTCTCATGCAGAGAAACTTTTACGGCTGTGAGCTGGTCAACAGTGACTCACTGACTGCAAATATGCAAAGTAATAAAGATGATATGATCAAATGCTATTGATGCTCTCAATGAGACAAAGAGAAATCAAATGTGCTAAAGAAAAACGAAGAACAAACAGCACATTGAGTGCATAAAGACTGTGAACAGTTAAAAGCTCAGTGTACTGTAATTTAAGACAAGGAAAAGCAGCAAATTTAAGAACTTGAAACCATGACTTTGTGTGGCAAGTGACAAAGCATTATCAAAGCAGATTCATGTTTTGATATTCAACTAATAAAATAATCAATTAATGTTAATCGCTAAAATTGTATATACTGTTGGGAAGTGTAACATAAATGTAGTGGAGTAGAAGTAGACAGTAATATAAAAATGGAAAACAATGGGGGAAAAAAATAAAGACAGATACCTCAAACGCATACTTAAGTACAGTACTTGAGTCAATATACTTTAGAGAGTGCTTGTTTTACCTGTTAAACTACAGCAGTGTATATGAAAAGAGCCAGGACGAACGCTATCTGAAAGTCATTGTTATCTACTCCTCTGTGCTGTAAACGTACCAGACTCTGAACCGCCCTGAGGTGATAAACTCCACCCGCCTGTTACACCATGAATGGTTAAACAAACAGGTGATATGTAAATACTGTGTGACTTTACAGCAGGTCTGAGACCAGTGCTGTTGTAACTGACAAACTAACATGAACTTCCTAAGATGACGTTTGATTCACTGTCACTGAACAGCAGGGAAAATAAAATGAATAAATAAAATAAATTAGAGCTTCGATCGGGCCCCCCCACCCCCCAAATTCTATGAGAGCCCAAACAAGCCTAAACCACCGAATCTGTGCCTGAGCCCAAATTTATTATCAACTTAAAAATAAATAATTTAGATAGTTTAGTATGTAATGTACATTGTGCATATAATATAGTGCAAATCATTATCAAAACAAATGCATAACAAATTCACTCATAAATTACAGCTGCATGCATTATTAATGCAGTTTTTTAAAATCTCATTCTGTCCGAGCCAGAACCGAGCCTGACCTACGGCAGTAGTTTTGGAAAACCCAGGTCAGGGCCAATCAGGTTTGGGCAAAGAATCCAATGGAAAATATTCAGTTAGCACGGCCCCTGATTTGAACTCTGCAGGGAATCATCAGCATGTCCTGAGTGTCGCCTGCTGCTCCAACCAGAAGCAAATAACAGTGGAGAGGAGGGAGGGAAGAGAGAACAGATCAGCTGTCAACCACACCGAAACCCAGAGAGAACGATCAGTGTTGCCTCCCCCGCTCCACTCCCTCCTCCGACCTTGGAAACGAGGGATAAAGACAGGAAGAGAGGGAGGAGAGGAAGAACCAGTGTATGAGATGTGAAAAAACACAAACTATCTCTCAGTGAAGAGATGTAAGAAACAGCGCCCAATCAAACCCTCCAGTGGTTGAATTAAATTCTTGATGTCAGGACTCGACTCAATGAACAGAAGAGGGGCACTATTTTTACTCCAGCTCTGACTCTAGTGCACTGTGTGCCAAACCACCGGCTTAAATCCTTAGAGCCCTGAAATGCAATATGAGAGCTAAATGTTGATGAAGGTCACAATAGGACTAGTATGCAAAAAAAATGAAATGAGAGAGTAATTTACTGAGTGAATGTCACTGGTTTAATGTTTTTTGTAGTAGAAAACTAACAGTAGTTAGTCTGTACATGAGCATCATTTGCCTCTTTGTTGCAGTGTTACTGTTAGCAGAACTTGAACTTTGAGATAAGTCTAGTGTGTGTTGTAAACCGGCACTGTGCCCTCGCGGCCGACGTCCCGAGAGGAGAAGCTAGTTCTTTTGTTACAAGCCGTCATCACTTCTGCAGGTCAACAGGAGACACATCCTGAACTCAATCTCAGCTCATCAAATCCACCCCCAGGTACAACATCCTGCACGACTTTTGTCACCTCTTTGTCCCTCAGCACGGTCACTTGATGACCTGAACTCAGTCACAGTACACAACTCAAACTGCGTCTTAAAAACTTTTCTACTGCTGCCAAACACTTTGGAGTTTGTGATGAGGGGTAACCTTTTTACATCCACGCCTGAAGAGTCATTTCAGGTTAAATGACTGTTTGAGATATGACCATACTGTTTTTGCTTTGCGGAGACATCAGGATTGGCAGCAGTACTGAAGCAATCACACTTATGTTATGCTCTTATTTTGAAGGCCTCCTATGTCAGAGAGTTCACTTCGGGTTTATTTCACATCCTCTACATAAGCTAATTATGATGATGTAATCAGTTTGTCAGTACATAAAGACAAACGATTCCTCAGTTTAGTCAAAACTAGTGACTCTGGACATGTCTTCAAGAGAGTGTATGTTCTGTCTCAAAAGAGGAGGAGCACGATGTAAAAAACAAAAAAATATACCTAATGATCATGTTGTAATAATACATTAAACATTTTCACCGTCAATTCTAGTGTCTTTATAGGAGAATATTATCTGGAAATAAAAATGAAGATACACATAATTGAAAACTTAGTCGACAGTACTTCTGTGCATCCCTGAGTAGGGTCTACAGGTATTCCTTTAGCAATAATGTAGGGAGCTATGGCTGTGAACTCTACCGAATTAGTATAAGACCAATATGTGACTGGTTCTACACACAGTAGTATTATACTGTGTCTAAGGGCAGCCTTAGCCTGTGAGACAAAATAAAGGGCAAAATAAGTCCACACAGATTGCAATACAAATTGTGATCTGGAAAACAGAGCTAAATGTCATCTGGATTTTATCCAGACACGAGACACAAGGACAAGTGTAAATGGTCCGAGTGTTCCTGTACTTGATCTTTGTAATGAAAATAAAAATGTTTCAATCTGCTGCATTAAATCCAAACTCAATCTCATTCCATTCTTCTCCTGTTTGCTTTACACGTTTACAACAGAAACCTTTTTCATTAAAACAGCGCCTACAAACACCATCACTACTCTGTCCTGCTTCCTCGCACAGATGTTTATTTGGCTGAGCGTGCGTTGCCGTGGTGACGGCAGGCAGCTGAAAGCCTCTCAGTGAGGCAATTACCATCAGTCACTCGTTAAAACCTCAAACTGAGCAGACAAGAGTCGAGCTGTGAAGTAAACCTGCCTTGTGATGTTGTTTTGGTAATTTGTTTTTTATCAAGACGATACCACAATACAATCTACAACACATAAACACATCTTCAAAGAAATTAACATGTCTATAGGATATAAACAGTAAGAAAAGAGATGCAGTGTTACTAAATTTCTAAGAGACTGTTCAGACTGAGTGCAAAGTTTTTCACCAGCTGGAAACTATTCTGTTACTGGAAAAGATCGATGAGACTTACGATATAAAGCAACATGTTTGTGTTTGGTTCCAACACATTTTAGTTCAAGAGTAAAATTAGCCTCGTTGCGACTCTCAGTCTTCACAAGCTGCCGCAAATAAACTCCAGAGGGGGGAAATAAACACTGTTTCAAAGGGTGAATATGTCTCCAGAGGGACTGAGGGATATTTCCGGAGAACAATGGCTGTTTGGAGCATTTAGCGCCGCTGACAGCTCGTACAGAGCCATAGAGGAAATGGTTAATGTGCAGAGAGGAAGTGAGAGCGGCAACAATCAGTTCAACAGCTTCCTGCAGGGAGGAGTGGTGGACGGGAAGGTGAGAGAGTTTCTGAGCCCGATACTGCTGCTGATAGTGGAAACCTCAGTTACGTACATGTGAACTGAGATTTTATTCTCTTCAAAGCTGCAGCCATTCTTCAGTCCATCAACAGTTTCTGCAGGTTTCAACAGGTTCAATTTAAGACCATTTTTAAGACCACTATGAATGCAATTTAAGACATTTTTAATGCCCATACTGGAAAAAAAAAGTACAAAGGATATGAAGGAAAATCAGTATTGGCTTCATGTTGGCTTTGCAGTTGTTACAGCATGATCAATACA